TTCTTCATGCATGATTACCGACCCCCACCCCTCCTATCCATATCTATCTAGAGTAAAACTGATTTGCCTTATTATGTGCCTTTCCTACACTGACATGGTCTATATTCATTATTCTGACAGTGCGGTTACCAGACGTGCCGATGGAGACGCGGCCGAACAGTAAGTACATGACAGAAAAGAAAGATAGACAACAGGGACAACAAATCAGGCAGTGGGATTATAGCACTTCTGTACCAATCCCCGGAGTTTTTTTTGTTTTTTTTTACCAGAAACGTATAAATCATAATTAAAATTAAAACGAAAAATGCTAGGGCGTTCAGAGTAATTTTACGCATTTTAGGGGTTAAGATCAATTTTCGGTAAAAACGCCACTATCAATGATAATATACGCTGACAACGCAATGTCGATCAGACTAGACGGAACATATGTCCAGACGTTTTCCTGGGATAGTTTGGAGGTTCATGCTCTTCACTACTGAATTTCGATTCACGCTAGTTCGAGCAGATGGCCGTCAGTGTCTACCAGCGTCGAGGGGCGAGCGTGTTGCCGACGCCCGTCTTTTAGAGCATGACCAATTTGGGAGTGGATCGGTTCTGGTTCTGGCCATCCTCGATATCCAGGGGTTACGCTCACTTTCACTCTTTGCACCCCTGGAATATGTCATAGCAAAATCTATGGAGACAAGAATACTAGTACGACCCTTTGATGAGAATCTCGCGGTCACGTAACGGTAACTGTAAAAATTGACAGGCTTTGTAGTCGGGCGTCTCTCCTTTGTAATCTTCAAAGGACAGGACTCAGCCTAGCGATTGGTCAGATTTTTTTACCTGACACCAATCAAACAGCTATCTTCGTGCCTTCAATTTTGCTATGACATATTCCAGGGGTGTAGAGAGCGAAAGTGAGCGTAACCCCTGGATATCGAGGATGGGTTCTGGCAGAAATGTCCCATGGTTTGAAGACAATTTTAGTGATAGCTAAAGGAATTTAACGGTTGTCCGTTATCGAGATGAGTCCCTAAGGCCCCATGTTGTGCCCTTTGTTAGCAGGTACGTATAATATCACCCTTCAGCTCGATAATGCAAGACCACTGGTAGCAAGAGTCTGTAGGGTCTTTAAATTTCCTGCAACACATTACATCGACCCTGTTGATTGGCCTCCATATAGTCCTAATCAAACACTTATTGGAGGAACGAAACATGAATTAGGAATCAACGTGACCCCCAAAATAACCTCCCCCAGTTAGCCATGCATCTGTCGAGAAAACTGAATACTATTCCTATACGGGCAGCAAAATGCCCTAACAATTTCTTTGCAGCCAGAGTTAGAGATGCAAAAGCTGTTTCAGGAGGGAACACAATGTTAGTGAAAGTATTCACAACTGGGGCCATTCTAACTTTAAATAACTTAAATAAATCCGACCATAATATTTTTTCAGCAACATGTCTGAATTTTAGACATTTATTTATCATTTATAAATATTATGGTCGGATTTATTGAAAACAGAAAAATATCACAACACCATTAGGTTTTTTTTATAAAATATTTATTAAATTGGTTTAACTCAATAAAAAATGTGTACATGTCTATCAAATACAGGCTAGCACGAAGTGATTTGACATTTTTTCTGAATAAAGGTACTAAATTATTATTGGTTATGTATTGTTTTACGGCCTGTCGACAATGTCAGTACAATGTATAGGTAACACAGAATTAGCTAAAGTTGTCTAATACTTTAAGGGAGTGCAATGTTTCCAGTAACATGTGGCCCGAACACTTTCAACAGGTTTGGTTTGAACAGCTATGACCATAAGGCCAGTGCCTGGCGACTGCCCCACGTCGGCCTCGAACCCGCGATCCAGTGGTGGAGAGCTAGTGGTAGCAGAATGTCAGACGCCTTAACCACTTGGCCACCACGACCCAGTGGTGGAGGGCTAGTGGTAGCAGAATGTCGGACCCCTTAACCACTTGGCCACCGCGGCCCCAATTCCTTTCAACATACAATACTGTGAACATTTCTAAATTTGTGAAATCCTTATAGATGAGATTCTGGTTCTGTCATTTAATTTACACTTTACAAAATCATACTATTACGGTTGTTAAAGTGACATTTACGATCTGAAGAAGCCTCATTTCAAATATTGAAATCAAAAACATTTTCAATTTCCTGACATTTTTTTTTTTACCTTTTGGCACTTATTCTTTCTGAAAAAAATACAATAAGAAAGAAATATATTGTATCACTGACAATTTTGTATACCATGTGTAGTTCTAAGTGTCAAACGTTTATTATGGTAGAAACAATCCATTATCAACCATGAATTGATGTCTTTTGAATTAGGGAAAAAAGCTCTATTTTTTGTAAATAAAATGTAACTGGACAGATGTCAGGGTTGTAAATACAGCTTCTAATTCTATGAGGATGATTTGACTAGTTTAATTACTGAACACAAAGTCTATAAAAACATGTATATCTACAAATACAGGTATTGCTAAATATCTCAAAATTACTGATATCAACAGTACACTAGAAAGATTTCTGAAATATAATCAAAGATATCTTTTATTAATTAAATTATTACTGAAAACAACACATTTTCTAATGTAAATGTACCTTATGCAGTAAACCCTCAATATATAATCAGGCCTCTTGTTTTATTCTCACAAAAAGCCAACATATTTCTTGCACCTCAGACAGGGATAACCCACATTATATTTACCCTTTTCTAGAGTTTTTGATCACATCCAATCTGTTTAGCACCTTTGCATGACATTTGGTGCCAAATTTCACACGATGATGTTTATTTATGAAATGACAAATGAATATTTAACAAATTACCATGAACTTCTGGAGTGTTAAATTATTATTGTAATCCCTTTTCTCTCTTTTCGTCATGGACTTCATGTTTTTTGGGGAAGCATATAAATATAGCTTTAGCAATGCAGCAGCCGTATTTAACTGGGGCCCCAAGAAGGGGTACTTGTAAACAATGATATAAATAAACCTTTTTTTCAAACTTATGATGATCCGCAAGAAAAATAAGAACTACCTGTACTTGCGGCTCAGCTTAGATAACCTCAGCCCATGACTGAGATAATCCCATCTCGCTCAGTTACAGGTTACATATTTTATTATTTGAGGTTTCCTTTTTCCATTTTTTTCAACGATTCCGTTATATAACTTCCTTTATGTATCACCAGACCCCTTGCTAATACCAAAACCTAAATGGAAAAAAGTTTGCTTTATATTGAAGATTTACTGTTATAATGCATAACATGATGTTCATTGTGTGTAAACATTGGTGGTTTCATGATTGCTATTGCTATGGAACTACAAAACAAGAGGCCAAGGGGGCCTGCATCGCTAATATGTATATTTAAGAAATAATTGTATTATTCTCATTAAGTATGGCAAATAACATCCCAGGGATAGGGTCAGTCCCAAGGCCAAAGCCTTGTCCAAATCTACAACCCTAACCCTAATCTTCGGCTCAGCTATTGCTATTTGTGTAATCTTAAGTTGTGATCTCAAATGTTTCCATGTTATGACTGGGGGCAAGTCCCCCTGAATGCGAGCAGACCCTAAGGCAGAATTTGGTAGCATGATTATGTCTGTCACGTTATACTGAGCAATTGTATGTCCAAGATGTTTACCCAGGAAGAAAGTCACTTGAGGGGATAGCAGATCGAACCCAGGGTCAATTCTATTATCATGATTGTACTTATGTCTTTTTGCCCAGCAATTGTATATATGGTTATGAGGTGTGAACCTCTACCATTTCACAGTTATGATCCACAGACTAAGTCCCTGTGGGTGTGGCTAAGTCCCTGTGGGTGTGACTAAGTCCCTGTGGGTGTTGCTAGGTCCCTGTGAGTGTGACTAAGTCCCTGTGAGTGTGACTAAGTCCCTGTGGGTGTGTCTTAGTCCTTGTGGGTGTGTCTAACTCATTTTGGACATGGCTAAGTCCCTGTGGGCGTGGCTAAGTCCCTGTGGGTGTGACTAAGTCCCTGTGGGTGTGACTAAGTTCCCATAAGTGTGACTAAGTCCCTGTGGGTGTGACTAAGTCCCTGTGGGTGTGACTAAGTCCCCGTGAGTGTGACTAAGTCCCTGTGGGCATGGCTAGACCACTTGGACAATTCTAATATCATGATTGTGTTCGTCTCTTTATGCACAGCAATTGTATGTATGGTTATGAGACGGGATCTCAACTGTTTCCAAGTTATGGCCCAGAAACTAAGTCCCTTTGGGTGTGGCCAGACCCCAGGGTCAATTCTAATACCATGACTGTGTTTGCCTTTATGCCTAGCAATTGTATATAGAGTTATGGGGTGGGGGTCTTGACTATTTCAAAGTTATGTACTAAGGACTATGTCTTTATTGGTTGAGCCAGACCCTGAGGCAATTCTTGAACAATATGTGTATGTATCTCTTTATACTCAGCAATTGTATTTTATATGGATAAAGGGTGGGTATCTTAATTATTTCCAAGTTTGAATATCTTTTTGGCCACACCCCTCAGCCCTCGGTTAATCCCTTCCAAGAGTACAATTTTGAAACCCCACAACCTGAGAATTCAAAAGAAAAAGGCAATTAAAGTAATGTGGCCAAACAACCCCTTCTGGCCCCGCCCCACAGCCCCTTCATTTGCACAATTGTAAATCCCCATTATCCTTCCGACCTGCAGGTGAGCTAATAAATATAACAAATTTAATTAATATTCCTGTTATTCAGTTTGTTTACATTGGGTATCCATGTAAGTTTGTGTGACAATAGCTTCAAACCACTCTACAAACAAACATTTCAGGTTGCTAAGTAACAAAGTCAACTGAAGGTACATTAATATACTAGAGATCTCTATATAAGGTACATTAATATACTAGAGATCTCTATATAGGGTATATTAATATACTAGAGATCTCTATATAAGGTACATTAATATACTAGAGATCTCAATATAATATAAGGTACATTATTATACTAGAGATANTTTTAATATACTAGAGATCTCTATATACAGTACAATAATATACTAGAGATCTCTATATAAGATACATTACTATACTAGAGATCTCTATATAAGGTACATTAATATACTAGAGATCTCTATATAAGGTACATTAATATACTAGAGAGCTCTATATAAGGTACATTAATATACTAGAGAGCTCTATATAAGGTACATTAATATACTAGAGATCTCTATATAAGAGACTTTGTCTTGACTTGCTATATGGTCCCTATATCAGTCCACTTAGTATTAGTGATGTCACATTATTTATAGTATTTCCAATTAAATACTCACGCTATATAAATACAAACCAGTTTGTAACATTACAGATTTAACACACGATCCGGCTCTATATTGCACAATTTATAAGCAAAGAATACAAAACAACAAAACAAAAGCTGTCCACGAACAGTGACTCACCTATTCAAAGAATATTTGAAAAGATACGTAGTTAAGTCCAAAAAAATACCCTCTTTTTTTTTTACTTTCGCGCAACTCTGTTTGACCCCTTAGGTCAATCATGTCTACTATAAGAATCCTAGTAGAAAAAATGACTGTTATATTTAAAGGGAACTTCATAACTTCCACTAAAATTTTAACGTGGAGATTTTTGTTATAAAATCTGAGGCGTAAAAGAGGTCAACTCTGGAAAAAAAATGTAACATATTTTTTCTGCTCTGACTTCCTAGATCAATGTTTGACTCCTCAGGAACCTCAATCTCAATATTACAATCCTAGCACAACTTTAACAAGCTTCAATGTCAGGATGACTACACAAGCTCTCTAAAAATCACTAAATCATTTCAACCTTTCCATTGCTATTGTTATAAGTAGACAAGTTCCTACTGGGTGACACGACAAAGACATCTTCAGACTTATGCCTCTCATTATACAATAAACTGAATGACCTATGCAAGCACGGAAATAGTTCTATGCCTAAAAAAATTGAACCATCATGTATGAATTTCTGCATGATGTTTTTGTCCAGTTATTCCTACTTTTTGTGATATTTTGGGGGCAAATCATGATATTTTTTTGATGAATTCTGATCTTTATCATCAGTCAGAAGACTACATACACTTTAACTCATTCACCCCTGAAGACACATTTGAACTCTTCCAATTCAAAGGTTGGAATAGTCCATCATGAAATTTCAGGGGTGAATGAGTTAATGACCATAGTGATTAAACGTTCAATTTATGGGGTACGCTGTTTAGTATGATAACTGATATATTTGTTAAACCAACTTTTGATGGGCGATATATTTTTCTCCATTACTCTGGTTTAACTGTGCTAGAATCTGAATCATCAAAAATCTTTAGATGTTGTAACCTGCCATTCAAGCATCTCAAAGCTTTAGCATAATTAATTTTCAAACATGATATTTCAACAAATTAATAAAAAAACAATTACATTTAAGTGTTGTTTACCATTCTGAATATCAGTATAAAAAAACTATGTTTTATGTGTAAATATCACCAATACATTTTCTCTAAAATAAATCAATACTTGCACTTATACAAAAACAAAGTATCAACAAGAGAAAATCAACAATGTATCTTCACAAAAAATAAATGTGTAGATATCACAAGAGATGGACACTGAGTGACGGTGAGGTGTGTAGTGGTTATACTGTAAGTTTCGGCAGCTGACAGTGTACGATGCCCCAGAAGAACAGCCAGTTGGGGAGGACAAGGAGACTAAAGAACGGATACATCCAACTAGAGAAGAAGTAGTTATCAATGATGGTAAGAAGGAGGCCATGTTTGGTTGTGTCCCATGACAAACCCATCATCTCCAGGAATGACGACTTCTCCCCTACACACGAGATCATGGCTGCGGCCAGAACCATAGAAGCTGGAGACACCAGTAATACAACGGCTTTTTGGATCAAATTCATCAACCTGAAACAGAAGGTAAAATATGTGCCTCAGCATACAAGATTTCAGTTCATAAACCTGAAACAAACAGTAGGAATCACATCTCATTTCCAAGTTCATGTTCGTTACCTTAGAACAAAGACAAGGTCTTAGTTAATCTTCGAGCACACAGTAGGAATATTGTCTTAGCTTACAAATTCTTCAAACATCACCCTTGATGAAACTGCTCTTTGTTTTATTCTTATTTCACATTCATATAACAACTCACAAGTTGAAAACAATATTTATACAAAATTTACAAGATTGAGTCAGAAACAAAGTTGCTCGTAACACTGAGAATCAAACTTGCACCTTTCGGCTACACCAGGGTTGTGATGTGGCCCAATAGTCTCCACACAGGAGAGCGACGGAGAACTTACCTGCTATGTGTGGGGTGTACGATGTATTGTGGCCCAATAGTCCCTACACAGGAGAGCGACGGAGAACTTATCTGCTATGTGTGGGATGTACGATGTGATGTGGCCCAATAGTCCCCACACAGGAGAGCGACGGAGAACTTACCTGCTATGTTTGGGATGTACGATGTGATGTGACCCAATAGTCCGCGCACAGGAGAGCGACGGAGAATTTATCTGCTATGTGTGGGATGCACGATGTGATGGGACCCAATAGTCCCTCCACAGGGGAGCGACGGAGAACTTACCTGCTATCTGTGGGATGTACGATGTGATGTGGCCCAATAGTCCCCACACAGGAGAGCGACGGAGAACTTACCTGCTATGTGTGGGGTGTACGATGTATTGTGGCCCAATAGTCCCTACACAGGAGAGCGACGGAGAACTTACCTGGTATGTGTGGGATGTACGATGTGATGTGACCCAATAGACCCTGCACAGGGGAGCGACGGAGAACTTACCTGCTATCTGTGGGATGTACGATGTGATGTGACCAAATAGTCCCTACACAGGAGAGCGACGGAGAACTTATCTGCTATGTGTGGGATGTACGATGTGATGTGACCCAATAGTCCCCGCACAGGAGAGCGACGGAGAATTTATCTGCTATGTGTGGGATGTACGATGTGATGTGACCCAATAGTCCCTGCACAGGGGAGCGACGGAGAACTTACCTGCTATGTTTGGGATGTACGATGTGATGTGGCCCAATAGTCCCAACACAGGAGAGCGACGGAGAACTTACCTGCTATGTGTGGGATGTACGATGTATTGTGGCCCAATAGTCCCTACACAGGAGAGCGACGGAGAACTTACCTGCTATGTGTGGGATGTACGATGTGATGTGACCCAATAGTCCC